GGGGGGGGGACGACATGAAGCGCCTTCTCATAACCTTCAAAAGTTTGCCGGAGCGGAAGGCCAACTTCTCGAGGAAATCCTCGGCCGAGCTCCAAGTGGCGACGCGGTACGTCTTCTGGATGTACTCGGGCTTGGCCCGCTCCAGCACCGCCCCGATGTGCTCCTCCGGGTTCTTGATCTTCTCCACTTGAACCTTCATGAAGAGAAAGGGCGCGGGCGGGGCGCCAGCGATCCTCGTCACACACACGCTTTGACGCAAATACCGCAAATTCAAGCCCAACGTACCACTCCTTTGAGGACAATATCCGTTTCGCTGTCCTCCGAAGGGTAGACCACGCCGGGACAATCGATGAGGAAGATTCGTCTCATCAAAGTGATGTACTGCCACACCTGGAAAGGGGGGGGGGGGGCATTTTCGACATTTCTAGAGCTCTTAACAATTCGGACAACAAAATGATCAATTTGTAACAACGCCCGCAGAGAGAAAAAAAAAAGTCACAGCAAAAAAAAAAAATAAAATAAAATCACGTTTCGCGCTCAGTCAAAAGACTCAAAGAATAAAAAAATGGCGAGTTGGAAAGATGGGCAGCGGAATATTGTCCGACCTTCATTCAAATTTGTGCACAGCGCCTTTGTTTCAGCTGCGGTTGTTTTTTTTTTTTTTTTTTTCCGGGCCCTCTCAATAAGAAATCGCTCGACCATATCATCATCGACGTGATTCGTTCCTCCGTGTCCCTTGCAATTTGCTTCCTCGGCGTTTGGCTTTTTTGACCATGCCCAGGCGTTAGCGGCGGAAACGTCACCTTGGTTTCTCCGGCGAGGGGCGCCACGTTGCAGACTTTCTTGGAGCGCAGCGTGTTAATGACGGAACTCTTGCCCACGTTGGGGTAACCGATGAAGCCCACGCTGATTTGTTTCTTGTCCGTGTGGAGCTACAAGAAGACGAAGAGGGTGGGGTGGGGGTGAAAAAGTCCGTTTCCACGTGAACGGGAGCCGCTCGTTTGTGGCTTTACCTTGCCAAACTGCCGGAGGAGCTGAATGAGGGAGCCTTTACCGAACGAGTTGGTGAGGCTGGCGTGAAAAGCCAGAGTGGGGTACTCCTGGGACAACAGCGCCACCCAGCGTTTCTGATTCAAACAAAAAAAAAGGGGCAGCAAAGCTTTGGATCAAGCCGCCCCCGGAGTCGGGCGGGGAAAATGACGGCCGGCCGGCCGGCGGTCTCACAGTGACCCAGGTGGGGATGAGGTCGCACTTGTTCAGCACGAAGATCAAATGCTTCCACGACTTCTCCTTCTTGATGTAAGCCTCGATGCTCTGCGAGCGGGTGCCCATCGGATCGCGGGCGTCCAGCACTTGGATGACCACGTCGGACGAGTCGATCACCTGCGACGGCCAAAGGCGCAAAGATGAAAGGCCGACTTTCATCACAGTGGCAAAAAAATGAAACGTGTCCGCGACGATCACCGGATTGGATGAAAGTTGGGGTTGGATGCCCGGGTTGTCTGCGTGAAACAATACCTTGTAAAGTTCTCCCCAAATCCTTTTGGACTGACCCTTTTTGAAGATCTCTTCGCGGACTGCATCCCTGTTGTGTGGGGGGGGGGGTCGAAGCTTCGGCTTGCTCCAAGAGGTCCTTGACGTCGGACACCACAAGACTGGGCCTCTTGCGCTGAGCCTTGGGTCCGAACGTGGTCTCGAAAGCCTCCGTGTCTAAAATGTGCACCCTGGAGTTCTGAAAATAAGAAACAACGGAGGTGACTTACTGCGGCTATTTCCTGCCGTATGATCCGGCGAGACTGTTCGAGACTACTCATTTGGCCGGCGGATTCGAAATGAAACTGTGTCGGACCTTTGAGGGTCCGCTGAAAAACTATGCATTTGGTTTGCACTCACGTGAGCTTTGACTCGGTCGTGCAGCAGCGTCATGGGCAGTTTGCTTGGTCTCATCACGACGCGGTAAGGATCCTTCTGCACGGCGCTCATCTCTTCTTGGAACTTCTGCAGGGACGATTGCTTGATCACCCGCGTGTTTGCTGCAAGACACAAGGTTTTAAATGGCTCTCATAACGATCAGTACCATTCGATTATGTTGGCGTAAAGGGTAAATTAGTGAATGCAATTTAGATTTGAAGATCTATTTGCAAACTCACCAAACCACTTGATGTTGGGTTCGACTCGGGCCACTGTCCCGGGAGCCACGGTGGACTGGTACTGTAAGGGCTTGATGACTTTACCTCTGTTGTTACTGGAAAACCAAAAAGACAGATGAACACTTGTCAGCGCGCCGCAGCATCTTCTATTGAATTGCACAATAAAACAAATCAATTACCATCTAATTTTTTGTCTGTACATATTCAGACGCTTAATAGTGGCCCGGTCCCTCATGTTGCTGCCGCCACCTTTGGCCCGATCTGTCCAAAACACACACAAATAATTGAGTTAACGCCGCCGTCTGGAATTATCAGTTGATCAGAATAGACCCGCAACAATATAACTACACTTTATGACTTTTCAAGCGAATGATCCTTCTCACAAATGTGTGTTATTGTGGGTTTTAGTTCGCAGCGGTATACAACCACATCACCGCAAGGCTAAATTAACGTTGCAGCCATTTTTTTTTGTGTTTCTGCAAATGTGTGTTAAGAGATGACTGTGCGCGAAAGTGACGAACGCGTGTCTAGGTGTGATTCGATGACTTAAAATAAACACAGGAGCAGCTTTCATTACAGCGGCAAACAAGGTTACTGGTATAATAACTTCGATTGTTAAAACTATCAAGGGCTACATCCAAGACATTCGCCTTTAAATTAAACCCCTTATCAGTACCATTCGATTATGTTGGTGTAAAGGGTAAATTAGTGAATGCAATTTACATTTGAAGATCTATTTTCAAACTCACCAAACCACTTGATGTTGGGTTCGACTCGGGCCACTGTCCCGGGAGCCACGGTGGACTGGTACTGTAAGGGCTTGATGACTTTACCTCTGTTGTTACTGGGAACCAAAAGGCACATGAACACTTGTCAGAGCGCCGCCGCAGCGTCTTCTATTGAATTGCACAATAAAACAAATCAATTACCATCTAATTTTTTGTCTGTACATATTCAGACGCTTAATAGTGGCCCGGTCCCTCATGTTGCTGCCGCCACCTTTGGCCCGATCTGTCCAAAACACACACAAATAATTGAGTTAACGCCGCCGTCTAGAATTATCAGTTGATCAGAACAGACCCGCGTTAAAACTATCAAGGGCTACATCCAAGACATTCGCCTTTAAATTAAATCGTTTAAGTTGTCGTCTCGTAGGCTCTCTTTTTTTTTTTTTTTGCATATTTACTAGTGCTTGCAGAAACGATGCCACTTTGACCATTGTCGTCTCCACAAAGGTTTAAAATGTCAGTCGGCGAACTATAAACAAACCGTGAGGCTAACGGGGTTAGCTTACTTACCCGGGTTGCTGCTGGACGTGGAGGGATTAATAGAGCTTTTCCCCTTGAACTGAGGCTTCACCATCTTGACCGTTTATCCGGCAAAGCCGTCAACAATGTCGGAAAAAAAACAACAACAACGGCACCCAAATGAACGTGCCAATAAAGTGAACTCGTTTTTCCCCCTCCACCTCCTTAGCGCGACTCGGTGCGACACACGTGTTCGGTGACATGGGCAGGAAATACGTCATCCATGGGCGACGACAAAAATGGCCAATCAAACAGCAGTACCGGGGCGGTCAATGAACGTGTCATATTTTCATGAAAATATAAATAATAAGTTTTGTAATTGGGTAAAACGTGAATACATCAGCACAAATATTGTATTGAGCTCTATTTTTATTTAGTGATTAAAAAATTAATTATTTGGTTTCAACAAAAATAGCTCACCAGTGACTCTCCAGGAATACTGTGGAAGCGACCATTTCAAAATGTGAACACTGGCAGATATTTATAAAGTGTGGCCAATTGATAGTTAACTGTTTCTGAATTAGTGTGAGAAATAGCTCATGTGTTCAGTGTCTTCTGAGGAATGAATATCATTAATTGTAACAAATGAAGGTAGTTGGAGCAAATTCATTTAAAAAAAATGCATACTATCAAATAGAGGGCTCCGTCCTTTTAGCAATTACCACCCACAATGCACTGCCGGCGGCCATATTGGAGGGCTGTTATGAACAAGCCATACACGATTCGTAGCAAATATCTTCAAATCCAAGTCGGACTTGAATTTTTTGGTTCTCCGTAACGGCGGTGAATCCTCAAGGACTGTTTCACAATGTTTCAACAGAAACATGCCACATATGATTCACTACAGTGCAGTTAAGTGCATTCTTGCAACATTTCCAATACAATAACAAAAACATGAGTCAGTAATTTACAGCCGGTACACAATGCTTCGTGAACGATGCACTTTAACGGGCGTTTGCGGAATGAATGCCTCTTTGTGAGATAATTTACTGCAGTGTGCGGCGTTTGCTTGAGAATCATTTAAGGACATATCACAAACAAATATGACGGTCCAGATGTTTGTCAGTGTGGCGGAGATACTCGGAATCCCTCCGCAGTTGAAGCCGACGGTTGAGTTAAGCAAGGTCGGCGTGACATGAAAACGCACGCGACTGTGCGCATTTGATGGATAATAATTCAACACTCGCAGTGTCTCTGCTTTGAGTCCAAAAAAAAAAAAGTTCTTACGAAGAACGTGTTTGGTTTCCCACTGGCAAAGAGCCATCTTGCGCTATTAAGAATAATAATAATGATAATAATAATCACAATAATCCGCTGTTAGCATCCGCTAGGCAACTTAGCGTAGCATCGCTTATATTTATATGTAGTATATAACAAGCCGCCATCGCCGCTCTAGCTTGTCATTCTTCCACATTCGCCATTGTCATGATAACCCCGCCCACCTTCCCCCTGATGTAGTTGGCGCCAGGGTCTGGCCCCCAACAAATAACTGGGGCCAAGGGGGGGGGCCAGCTGAAGCACGGTGTTTCAAGCACCGGAGCTCAAGCCGATTTCGCAGGTGGAAAAAGAAACCAAAAAAGTTCTTCCTATCAATTTCTTTCGTTATATCCATTTGAAGCTGCTAATTTCTCATGATCTCAAGTGAGCAACCTTGGAAAATTCGGCATGGGCTTCAAACGATAATTCCTCCTCTTTGTATCGCTTCGGCGGGAAAAGGAACCTTTGTGGAACCAAAAGACTGACAGTCACCAAGCGTTGCGGCCAAGCTGAGTTTGCATCATCCTACTTGGCATCAAAACATTTGTGAAGTTCACAGGCGGGAAAAAAAAAACACACAACAAATTGACTTTCAGAGCCACTTTGTATCGGCATTCAAATGAGATTTCCGTGACGGCGGACACATACCGAAGTCATGAGAAGGGCTCCCCCCCCCCCCCCCCCCCCCCCCCCCCCCCAAAGCAGTGCAAAGCCAGGATCTCCTGTCTTTGTCTTTATCCCGCACCTCATTTGTACTCTGAGATACCAGCAACTGTTTCAACAATCGACCCGAGCTGAGGGATAAAAAAGATAATGTGAGGAAAGAGCTGTGAATCATGCAAATATGAGATCATGTTGATGTGAACCAAATGGCGATTAAGTAGTTGGACAGTTTTTTTTTTTTTTCTGGCACATGTGTCGGTAATTTGTAACACGCAAGGACAGTGGAAGCTCCAAAAGGCAAATTAATTCGGAATTTTAATGCGAGACGCAAATGATTTACAACACAACATTGGACACGACTGTTGGAAGAGTAAAAAAAAAAAAAAAAGTTTTTTTTTTTTTGTCGATGAATGGATTCATCGTTGCACCTCCAATCATGTTTCCGTGTGGTTACGATCGACGTGGAGCTCGTGTTAGCTGCGCTTTTTATGCATCAAAACGTGTTGCGATCGCTTTGCTCATGTTATGAACCCAATGACCAAAAACTGTTGAATGAGCACACGTGATAACTAAAAAAAGGGTAGCTTCCGATTAAAAAACATTTTTTTTTTTTTTTACAAACACCGGAAACAGGTGGGGTTTATTTAGGCCGGCACGCGACACAATGCCTTCACCCACGAGCCATTCTTGGAGCCCGATGACATCCCAAAATGGACCTTGGGTGAGCGGTTCCACTGGTTCGCGTTCACCGCTGTTCCTCTTTCTGACCACAAAATCGAAATCAATCAAGATCTCAACTCTTTCTGGTGCCGTTGTCAGTCAGTTTCTGCATCTGGCACTCGGAAGGTAACGCGGACGCGGACGATGCGAGGCCTCACGCTTCCAAAGCCTCCGCCCTTGCAACGACCACTTTATTGAGGAAAGAGAGAGATGTGTCATGAATCACAACGGCCAGGAAAACTCTTTTTGGATCCCAGCGTGGTTGTTTGGGATGATAGCACCCCCTGTTGGCCATGGCAAGTATTCACAGACTTGTACGTGTTTGTTTGGATTTTTTTTTTAGAGTCCGCCGAAAAGGAAAAATGGGCATTTTGTACTCGCGCTTGGAGAAGACAGCAAAATCAGATGATTTTTTTCCTTCCCCCTTTCTTTCTGACCTCGAGCATCTAACCCAGGGGTGTCAAACTCATTTCACATGGTGGGCCACATACGGCCTCGGTAGATGTCAAGTGGGCCGGACCATTAAAATGATACCATACTTTGCTATAAATAACCAAAACAATGTCTTTCCTTTGTTTTGGTATAAAGAAGCACAAGAACATTAGGAAAATGTTGAAATTTAATGAACATATCTTTTACAAAATATTTCATGAATCACCTTACATTTCCTATCGACAAATGTGCAATTTACTTTTATCATTCACATATATGCATTGCAACTGATCCCACTGATTGTACAAACATTAACAAGTAATTGGTATTGAAAAATATAGTAATGCACTTTAAGATTAAACGAGATTCATAAAGAAAGGAAGTTTTAAACCATTTACACGTGCATATAAAATCGAAATGTAATCTTACAAACTAAGGCGAGTGCTATTAAATGTGTAAATGTGAGAGTGCGATTGATAGCGTCTGCTGTCATGGGTCTGTCACAGTGACGGACTGAGGCTGCTGTTGTCTTCTTCTCTGATCAAAACAGTGTCCCCCTTGCGGATACTCAATGAATTGCACCTTATTAAAAATATTAATTCTGT